CATTTACGTGTTTCAGGGACCATATCCGTACAATCCGTACATTTTTTTAAACCAATCCGTACATTTTTTTAAAAATCCGTACATTTTTTTAAAAATCCGTATATTTTTTAAGAAATCCGTACTATCAGTAAAATTTTCGAAAAAAAAAAATCCCTACAATTCGTACATTTAGACAAGACAAGCAAATTATATATATAGATCTACATGACTTCATCTATTCCCCAACAACCAAAAAATAAGGGAATCAATTACAAACCTCATTCTTTCCGTAAGTAACTTCTTCACAGTCTTGTAGTTGACGAACTCGTGTTTTCTTTTGCAATCTCTAAAACAGCAGCTATTTTAGGGGAAAAATAAATAATAATTAGCATTCATTATTTTATCAAATAATCAAGGGTGTATAACATTCCTTTTTTAGAAATCCGTACATTTTCTTTGAAAATCCGTACAATCAGTACAATTTTCGACAAAAAACCCTACAATTCGTACATTCAAGAAAAATTCAACAATTTTTGAAAACAAAAACACATTAAAATTCAATTTATCATTCATTGTTCTTTAATATTCATCCTAGACTATAGTTCAATACGTGGAGTAGACATTCATCCTAGACTTTAGTAGAATACAGGGATACCTACAAACAAACACACAGACAAGACAAGCAAATTATATATATAGATCGACATGATTTCTTTTTTTCTTTTTCAAGCTCTAAAACAGCAGCTATTTTAGGGGAAAAATTAATAATAATTAGCATTTATTATTTTATCAAATAATCAAGGGTGTATATATAACATTCCTTTTTAACCCAGACTTAGGGGGCAGGGTGGATATCAAAGACCCAAGAGGAGGTGAAGGGAAGGAATAAGGGAAGGGGAAGGAAAGTTAAAAAGAGAAAGAAAAGGGGAAAGAAAAAGTAAAGGGAAAGGGTAACTGGTGAAAAAGGGATTAGTGGGGAAGAGTGAAAGGTAGGAAGGGGGAAGAGATGGAAGTACATAGGTAAGGAAGAAGGAAAGTAGGGAAAGGGAAGTTTGGGAGGGAAAGGAGAAGCTTGAGAGGGAAAGTGGAAGGTTGAGGGAATTTAATGAATATAAGGAACTACGGAAGGGACAGGGAAGGGAAGAAGAAGGTATAAAGAATGTAGGGTAGATAGGGAAGGGCAACGCAGTATAGGGAAAGAGAGAATCAATAGAAGGTTCGCAGATAATATATGTAGGGAAGGGAAGGGAAGGGATGAAGCTCTTTTCCTCTACGTAACTATGTAACTTTATCTAAAATCAGATAGTTTTTCATAAATAACTTTCCACAATAGTTATAATTATC